CCCGGCTATTTTTTGGTTGCAGCCGTCATTGTTGTTTGGCGGGTCCGGGCTGGGGATTCGAACCCGCCACCTTAGGTGTACACGGCTGGCGCCTTAGCCGGTTGAGCTATAGGCGCTGAGCCGTTGTCATTGTTGTTTGGCGAGTCCGGGCTGGATTTGAACCTGCCAGCTCTGGTGTATGTGGCTGGCACCTCAGCAGCTTGAGCTACGGGCGCTGAGCCGGCCATGTTATTTAAACTCTCAATACTTTAGTTTTCTGATCTGAAAGTGGGGGTAATAAAAGCACCTACCACACGCAATCCACTGGGAGAATTAGGAGGAGAAGAATCACACACAGCAGGCGAGGCACGGTAAGTTCTTAATGAGTATTAGCCATTGCTACCCTTGGAAGTAACAGTTCTGGTGCACCCTCCAGGCCAATTAGAAACGGAGACCTCTAGCACGCAGCAGGGTACATGCTGGATGTGCAGCTCCTCCTTCCCAGTCCCATTTACATCTATCCCCAAACCCCATGGTACTCCCAGCTCTGCAGCTCCCGCACACCTGAAGTTGCTGGGCTCCTTTTGTCACCTTCTCTAAAAAGTAAAACATTTAGTAAATAGGAAGAAATCCAAAAGTGAAAATATACAGGGGTTAGAAGTTTTTTCATCAAAAGTTCAAGCTTACTTGTTTTTTTTTTTGTTTGTTTGTTTGTTTTTTAGAGACAGAGATTCACTTTGTTGCCCTTGGTAGAGTGTGGTGGCATCATAGCTCACAGCAACCTCTAGCTCTTGGGCTTAGGTGATTCTCTTGCCTCAGCCTCCCAAGTAGCTGGGACTACAGGTGCCCTCCACAACGCCCAGCTATTTTTTTGTTGTTGTTGCAGTTTGGCCGTGGCCAGGTTCGAACCTGCCACCTTTGGTATATGGGGCCGGCACCCTACTCACTGAGCCACAGGCACCGCCCTCAACCTTAAATTTTTGAAAGTCAGAGGAATTAGAAGGTGCATGGTAAGGAAAAACAAAATTGATTAAATCAGAAGGACAAATCAATTATCAATTTTGAGAATAAATCATTTGAAGAGTTGCTTTGAAAAACCAAATTGGGGCTCGGCGCCTGTGGCTCAAGTGGCTAAGGTGCCAGCCACATAAGGGTTCAAATCCAGCCCGGGCCTGCCAAACAACAATGATGGCTGCAACCAAAAAATAGCCGGGGGTGTTGTCGTGGGCGCCTGTGGTCCCACCTACTTGGGAGGCGGAGGCAGGAGACTCGCTTGAGCCCAGGAGTTGGAGGTTGCTGTGAGCTTTGATGCCACTGGCACTCTACCCAGGGGGACAGCTTGAGGCTCTGTCTCAAATAAAATAAAATAAAATAAAAAAGAAAAACCAAATTGGGGCGGTGCCTGTGGCTCAAAGGAGTAGGACACCCGCCCCATATGCCAGAGGTGGTGGGTTCAAACCCAGCCCCAGCCAAAAAAAAAAGAATGTTGATTTCCTAACAACAGATTACAATTTGGGCAGCACCTATGGCTCAGAGAGTAGGGTGCTGGCCCCATATGCCAGAGGTGGTGGGTTCAAACCCAGCCCTGGCCAAAAACTGCAAAAAAAAAAAAAAAGGAAAAACCAAATCAGGCTGGATGTGATGGCTCATGCCTATATAATTCCAGCACTTGTGAGGCCCAGGAGGGTTGAAAGCCTGAGTTCATGTGTTTGAGACCAGCGTGAGTAACATCGAGACCCTGTCTCTAAAAAAAATAGCCAGGTGTTGTGGCGGGCACCTATAGTCCCAGCTACTTGGGAGCCTGAGGCAAGAGAATTGCTTGAGCCCTAGAGTTTGAGGTTGCTGAGAGCTATGATGCCGTAGCACTCTACCAAGGGTGACAAAGTGAGACTGTCTCAAGAAAACTAAAAAAAAAAAAAAAATCAAAGGTAAAAACCAAGCTTTTCTCTCCAGAAGGTTTGGCTAAACATAGGAGGTAATATTCACATCTACAAAGGCTGGCTGTGGGGACCCTAAGGCTGGTCCTGGGGCACAGAGTTCTGGAGGCTGGCATTCCCGGTCGGGCAGAGCTTACTGGGGATGGTGGACTGGAGGACAAGATCTTGAGGTGGAAACAGAAGAGAGGCGCTGGGCGCACGTACCTGGGAGATCTGGAAACAACGAATTAAAGCAGGGTGGGATCTGGACGTCTCCGGCAGGCTGTGCAGAGGTGCAGAGACAGGTGTCTGGTGCCAACCTCCTGGCCTTCTATGGTGGAGCCAGCTCCACAGAGGACTTATATGGCTGGAGTCACCTCCACAGGGGCGTCAGCCTCCACTCAGGTGTGACTCTTAGTATTGTCTGGCAGAAAAGGTGTGGCATCTGACGACAGTAGGCACATGTGGAAAATATGAGCCATTCCAGGAGAGTATTTTGCCAAGTGCAGAGACCGTAAAATGTGGAATAAGTCTCTTTTTTATGCTTTACTGAAGGTGACCATCAGAAGCAGAAACTGGGCTTGTACTCAGAATCTGAAAATCTTCTGGGCAGAAAAAGAGGACAGAGGCATCTCTTGGTGACTACAAAACTAAACCTAAATGGAAAGAGGCCTAGAAAGACAGGTGGAGAATAGAGACAGGAAAGCTTTACAGAATTAAAGATGGTCTGTGGCTACACAAATATTTGAGAGGTATTTCATTAAAACATCTGTCTTTGGCTTGGCGCCTGTGGCTCAAGTGGCTAAGGCGCCAGCCACATACACCTAAGGTGGCGGGTTCGAATCCAGCCCAGGCCC